CCCTGCCGTGCGCGCTGGTCTTCTCCCCACGGAGCAGGTGAGGGGGCCGGGGCGGCTGGGCTCACGCTGGGCCCTCGGGGGGGAATTTCACAAAGGCGACGGCTGCCAGCTCCTTACAAAACTCCTCCAGCACCACCACTCCCTGCAAGAGGGTCACGTGATCCATCCTGCAAGGGAACCAAAGCAGCTGCTGAGTGGGGCTCGGCCTGGGGGGAAACGGGGCATCTGGCCTGGACAGCAGGGTGCTCAGCACCCTAACAGACCCTTGTGCAGAACAGTGGGAGCCTCCCCCCCCATCCCACGTCTCTCCCGGCCTCCCAGAAAGCTTGGCAGCGCCTGGGGCTTGCGGTGCTACCAAGAACCCGAGACCGACCACGCCTCACTCCCTGCCCCCCACAGGTATCAAGGAGCCGGAGGGGGGCCCATGCTCCCTGTGCTGAGACGCAGATGAGTCTCTGGCGTTACAGGGCCCTGCGGGTTAGCGGCGGCTCAGACAGCCACGCTGGGTCTGCAGGGCACCGGCTGACGTAGCCCAGGCAAGTAGAGGCACTCACTGCTCTTCAGGGGCCAGCCCCATTAACTGTCTCCGCACCAGCAGCAGCTTAGCTGGGAACTGGGCCACCCGCTGGATCCTCTGCATCAGGTCTCCGATCACCTGGGGGCGAGGAGGAAGAGGATCAGCTCCATCCAGCCCCCAGGTCCGGGCAGCGCCGCATGGGCTGAAATGGGCAGTTTTCTGACCTCCCCCTCCCCCTGAGTTGCACACGGACACTAGACAGACCCCTGCCTCCTCCCTCCCCGTCCCTGGCATAGGGGGAAGTTACCCGGATGAGTACGGAGAAGAGCGTTCGGCAGCCGGGGGCCAGGTTCAGGTAGGGGTCCAGGAGGTATTCGTGGAGGTGCGGGTGTGGGAAGAGGGCCAGGCGGGACAGCACAGACGTCACCTGGAGGTTCAGTCCGTAGGGCTGCAGGACAGACAGACAAACAGAAGATCGCTCCCTTGCAGGGCCTTCCCGAGGCAGCAGGAGCGGCCTGGCTCGGACGTGGCCGTGGGGTCCTGTCCCCCTCGTCCAGTTGAAAATGAGCCTCTGAGATTACCTCCCAGAGAGGCAGTTCTCCGGTTATTTCAGAATCCCCCCTCCCCGAACCCTCGTCAGGATCGGGGCCTGCTCCAGAGAGCTCACAGTCTACTGCCGGGGACCCTGCTGGACTAAGCGCCTATCGGCTTTTGCAGCAGGGATGTGAGCGGGTAACCGGTTACCTGCAGCGCATCACCCGTGCGCCAGGTCTGCACAGCTGGGTGCTACTCCCCGTCCTGCTGAGTCTCAGCTTCAGGGCGACGGCCGCAGTTCCCCACCCAGGGCTGACCTGGCTGAATGGGCGTCCAGGATCCCAGTCCTGTGTTGTGGTCAGTGGCCTCAGCATGGCTGGGTGTTCGCTGGTTACGTCCAGGAGGAAGCCCGGCCCTGAGCAGGCCCCTGGCAGAGCAAAGTGCCGCCTCTGCCCCCACCCTCCGGCTGGCTCTGGGATTTCCCCAGGGAAGCCCGACTGGGGGGCTGAGAACGAGGCTGCGGTTTTCACCCTACCTGATCCAGGATCCGGGTCATCCGGTCGAACAGCACCTTCAGGAAGTGGCCCTCGTAAAACGCTGCGTGGGGGTCACACGCCTCCAGGGGTCTTGGAGCCCGAGGCCAGTTCCAGGAGGACACGTTGGCGCAGCATTCCTGAAACTGACAGGAGAGGGAAGGGGCGAGGGCGGACACAGAGCTTTAGCAATGCAGAGCGGCCTGCTCTCAGCCCCAGGACTGGGCAGAAGGCAGCCAGAAGCCCCAGCCGACGGGGCAGGAGGCAGACAGGCGCAGCGCCGGCAACGCAGCTGGCACTGGGAAGGATCACAGGAGTCGTGTCTCCACGTGGCACGGGACGGGGCATCCCCAGGCTGATGGGAGCGTTGAGGGAAGACGCGGAGGGACAGGAAAGACTTCAACCGCTGGCCGCTCTGTTTGGGCAGAGGGCTTAGCTGGGCCTGGCACAGTCAGCACAGGGCTGATCACGGGGAGGAATTAAGAGAAAGGGGGTGGGGGCAACAGAGAACTCAGGGGCTACAGGCCCCATCCATGACCTACCAGCCCTAAAGCATCGTGCACATACGTGTCGTAGCCTGCCTCCTCCAGGCAGGACGAGGTCTTGGCCTCGTCGGGAACCAGGCCCAGGAAACTGAAAGAGAGAAGCCATCAGGAGCTGGTACTCGGCTCCACATCCCCGGGGTGCCCAGACGGAGATGCGGGAGGTGCCTGGCCTATGGGGCTCATGTCCCAGGCTCCTCACATAGCCTCTCCACTACGGCGTTTACCCTGTACCATGGCTGGACCAGGCAGGACGAGGTCTTGGCCTCGTCGGGAACCAGGCCCAGGAAACTGAAAGAGAGAAGCCATCAGGAGCTGGTACTCGGCTCCACATCCCCGGGGTGCCCAGACGGAGATGCGGGAGGTGCCTGGCCTATGGGGCTCATGTCCCAGGCTCCTCACATAGCCTCTCCACTACGGCGTTTACCCTGTACCATGGCTGGAAAGGCAGGCTCACTAGGTTGCTCCAAGCCGCCTAGCAGGGCTGGACAGCCAATGGCCAGGAGCTTTAGGCTAATAAAAGCTCTAGGGCTGGTTTCCTGGTCACCAGGTACCCTCAAAAAACCCACTGGAGATGGAGAGCTCAAGAAGGTGCAAGCGCAGGGAGGTGTGGAAGGACCGCTGGCATGGCCTAGGAGACAGAGCTCCGGCTTGCTCCAGAAGGCTTATGCATGGGATAGGATGCAAGCCGACCAAATCACAGGGAGTTTATCAGAAGTTTTGGTAATTTCGAACTGGCTTTCCTTCCCAGCTGGAGACCCACCCTCCCAAAAAAACGTGGTTTCTGAAATGAAAGTTGTGAAATTGACAGGCTGGCAGCCATGAAACTGACCAAAAAGTCAGTTTCACTTCCCTGAGTGGCAGGGCTCCTCCCACACCTCCCAGCCCTGGCCTGTTCCCTGCAGCAGGGGCTCCTGGGGCAGCAGCCACACAATGGGGATTCTCCCAGGCCCTGTCCTGCCAGAGCGGCAGCGGAGCAGGAGCCCTGGGGATCATGAATTGCACTGAGTTCTTCTCTACCTTGCCCTTCATGCATCTGGCTCCCCGAAGATGCTCCCCCCCCACCGCCTTGTGGATGGGAGGGAGGGGCAAAGAGGTGCTGGACACTGAGCGCAGGGTCTGTAATTCACGATTCTTAGCCCCGGCAGCCCAGGGAAAGCCCCACCTGAGAACAATCTCATTCACTTCGGTCGTCTCGCTAGGCCGGGCAGGCCCCCGCGGAGAGGGCGACGTTGGCTTTTTCGACGTCCGGAGGCCTGTATCTGGAAAGCCATCGGTGAAATAGGGATCCTCCTCCAGCTCCCTGCAAGGCCAGGAACAGGAGTTACAGCTGCAGCCCCAGCCTGTGCCGCCGGGTTCTGCGCTCCCGCCGGGCGCCCACTCACAGAGCATCCTCCTCGTGTTCCTGCTCCTGGCTGCTCCGCTCCTCCTGCCCCGGCGGGCTGTGCAGGATGTAGCTCCGCCCCTCCAGGTTTCTCAGCACCAGGCTGTACACGATGTGCTCGTGCGGCTTCCCGCAGGGTCGTGAGGCTGATCTGCAGGGACAGAGCCCCGGGTCAGCGGGGAGACAGGCTGTAAAACTCCCCGGAAAAGCAGCTAGAAAGCCCTGCAGCAGGGATACCGCAGATCATAATCCCTTCTCGGGTGCAGTTAGCTGGGGGCGGGGCCTTCAGACGCGACCTTAGAAACAAGGGATCCTGTCTGCTGGGAGAGGACATTAAAGATGGCCGAGGGGCTGGCCACAGCGTTCCATGTGCACGCTGGCTACACCCCAGAGGTGGTCGCATTCCATGGGTGCTGTAAGTCTGGAGCAGCTGAAGCAGGGATGTTAAATATCAGTTAATTGAACAGTTGAGTAACCTCAGGAATTCTTATTCGACTATTCCATAGTCCCCAGGGGCAGGGCCAGTGTGCGACAGTCCCACTCCTGAGGAGCCCCCGGCCACTCCGTGCTGTTGACTCTGTATCAGAGGCAGCAGCGCGGGGTGCCAGTGGGTGCTGGGCTTCAAGGGGAGTCAGTTTAAAAACCAGCTTCCCTTGCAGACCGACTGACTGTTGCCCTGATACAGAGGCAGCAGTGTGGGGTGGCAGCAGCCCCTGTTCGGGCGTGGGGGGGAGAGGAGTTGCACTTCCGGACCCAGTGCAAACCGGACCTGATCTGTGCTGCCTGCCCACCCCGCTCCTAATGCACTTTAAAGGCAGAGCCGCAGCAGGGGCGGGTCCCAGCCCCACTGCAAACCAGGACTGAGCCGGGCTGCTGGCCAGCCTGCTAAACAATTTACCGGCGGGGGGGAGAAATAGGTCTGGTCTATAGCATTAACCGATACGCATTTGTTTATTGGTTCATCGACTCCACTATTACATCCCTAGCTTGAAGCGGTTTGGGATCCTTCTAGACAAAAGATACCGCGCCAGTTAGTAACATCCCACAGCACGTCCCCAATTCTACAGGGATCGCTTCGTGTGTACAAGTCTCCCAGGGATCGCCGGGTTAGTCTGTAACTTTAAAAACACCTTTTAAAAAAAATCAACGGGGAGCCCTGTGGTACCTTAACGACAAACGAAAATCCAGAGGTAGGATCACCAGCTTCATGGGCACAATGCACTTCTGCAGAGGGGGTGCGCTTGCTACAGCCATCCCATGTGAAGTGGGTTGTGCCCACGAAAGCGCGTGACCCTCCCTGTCTCCAAGGGGCCACAGGACCACTCGCTGGTTTTTTAAAAGGCGTTTTTTGGGATCACTTCATTCAGCTGCGCAGAAACGCTGCCTGGCTACTCGGGGCAGAGTGCGACAAACCCTGCAGTGGAACAAAACCGTCTGGGGACGTGAGAAAGGCCGAACGCGACGGCCTGGCCTGGCACTAGGGCAGGACACCTCAACTCCTACCAGGGTGTCCGAGAATCTCTAATGATCTCAAGGAGCGGGCCCTTGGGTCTGCAGGAAGAGCAGTTTCCCTACTTGCAATACCCAGAGGGAGGGGCGATAGTGAGAGCCCAGTCTGGGGTCCCATGGGGAAGGGGGGAGGAGAGAGGCAGAGCCCTGGGAGGCTACAGACAGGCGGAGCCCTGGGAGGCTACAGACAGGCGGAGCCGGCCTCACCTCATCAGACAGGTGGTTGCAGTGCTTTATCAACTGAGCACGGAGGAGATGCTGCTGCGGAGAGTCAGGGACGGCTTCTGGCTGCCTCTCTGTGCCCAGCAGGAACTCCACCAGCGTCCGGAGCAGGGCAGGAGCGCCGATCTGCCTCACTATGGCGGTCAGCATTGCGGTGGAGGTGAGGATGCCAAGTTCTGACCTGCCAAATAAAGGGGGAGGAGGAGAGAGAGAAAGAGAAAAGGGACTGAAGCTCCCCTCCAGGCAGCTGCGTAGAGCACACGTGCATGGGAGCACACCTCCACTCAGGGGACTTCACAATCGCCCTCGCTGTGGGGGCCAGCAGCAGGACAGGGAAACCGAGGCACAGGGCCAAGACATGACAGAGCTAAGAACAGGACCCAGGACTTCCCGCTCCTCAGTCTTTGCTCAGTCCCTGCAGCGTCCTGACGTCCGGGGCAGTAAGAGACCTCAGCCAAAGTGAGAACAAAGCAGCGGAAGAGCTGAACGGCCATTCCAGCTCCCGAGGAGAGAGCATCTCTCCAGACACACGCTCAGGCCACCGCAGCAGACGGCAGGAGCATGAAGAGAGGCAACAAAACCCAGAGCCAGGCTAGAGAGGGCAGTTCAGGGGTGATGCGTTTGGGAGTTTGCTGCGCTGGCACAGAGAGCAGCCCGCAATAATACCGCAGGCCTGGAAATGCCGAGAAATGCCAACCTCCCTCTTTCCAGGGGCCAGCCCTGCGAGCTGCAGGAGGCCAGAACTGGCCACAGCACTACCCAATCCTAGGGGGAGGGGGGCAGTAAGGCACATGGCTCTGAATGACATCTAAAGCCATTAGACCACTGCCAAACCACCCCGCCACAGGGCGGACTTGGCTCTTCCTTAAGGCGTTTTGTTTTACAGCCCCTGCCTCTCCCCAGCATGCTCAGCTGGGCCCTGCCTTTCCCGCTGCGGGACCTCCCTGGCTTCCCAGACTCCAATCTCCCAGCTTGGCTGGCAAGGCTAGAATCTCCCCGGGGGAATGTTCCATTTGCCGGCAGGGGTTTTACTTTAGTGTAGAACAGGGTTTTTTTTGTTTTTTTTAAAGAGACAGTCTAACTTCTGACAAAGTTAAGGACGCTGTGCACCCCTCTTTAGGGATGTAAGCGACTAATCGACTATCCGATAAGCAAAAGCTGATTGGACAGATGACACACTAGTCAACTAGTGACTTCCCCCCTTGCTGCCTCTATCACAAAGAGGCAGGAAGAGAAGGGGGTGCCGGTTCCCCCCAGCTCCAGCTCCAGCTCCGTGGGAGGGGGCAGCAGCCACCTTTGTAATGTGCCAGTGTCCCTGCTGGGGCTCTTGTACGTTTCAAAGGCGGAACGCGCTAGTTCTTACTGACTAATCGAATAGTCGATGGAAATCCCATCGACTATTCGATGAGTTAATTAATCAAAATTGAACAGCCCTACCCTTTTTATCTACCGCACCCGTCCTTCCACGATCACAAAGCACTTTTCCCGTGGGAATTATTTAAACCTCGTGAGCCTGAATGCAACATTAACTCCATTCTACAGATGGGCAAACTGAGGCACCCAAGCAGTGACTAACGCCAGCCCCAACCAGAGACAGACCCCAGGAGTACAGACTCCCCAGTTCCGACTTTCAACACAAGACTAATCACCTCCCGCTCTCTCGGCCCTGCGATGGGTGCCATACCCGCCAGTTTACACAGTGACCTGGTGACCAGCCTGTGCGACACGTGTACTCACATCTGCAAGAGCTGTGGCTGCAGGATGCCCCGGAAAAGCTTTTCACCAATGGCCTCTGTTACAGCATCTGCAACGACCTGCGGGTCACAGACAGAGAGTCAGTAACGAGCGATGAGCTACCAGTTCCCGGGCGTGTCCAAGACTCCTCTAATCCCCTCCTGCGTGACAAGAGCAGAGACTCTGCTGCTCCGTCAAGTTTCTCTTGGTGGGCAGGGTCACTGGCACACGGGGACGCCTGCACTGACACGGGTGCTGCGTGCGCACACACAGCTCTGGGATCCAGAGACCCAGGGACTCCTATGAAAGGAAAGCACTGCCCGGCAGCTACATGCTGGAGACAGAACACGCTGGAGCCTTCTTAAATGGGTTCAACCACAAGCCGCTAGATGGGTCACCCAGGATGGCTCCCACTTGTAGCCTGTCCCTGCAGGAACGGAACGACCCTGCTGTGACCGCAGTGTGTGCATATTGTGATTTTGCAGCTGTGTGCAGCAGCCATGCATCATGGTGACCATCCCATCGTGCAAGGCCTGCGATGTCGTCACACCCTGATGCGGTTTCTCAGAGCTCTGCAGCTGTCTGGCAAGCTGGGCCATGTCTCCACTTGTCACACCAGAGACTGATTTGGCGTTTGATTGAGCAGGTCGAGTAAAGACCTGCTAAATCGAATGCCGCGGCTGCCTCCTGTTGGCACAGTAGTGAGGAGTAAGGGATGCAGACGGGAGCATTTTCTCCCATCGACCTCCCTCTATGAAGACAGTGCCAAGCTCGGCTTACGGTATGTTCACTCCAGCTACCTTATTTCCATAACCGGAGTTGCATAGTGTAAGCCGACCTTCTGCGTCTAGCATAGACCTGGCCCTGGACTCAGAGCCCTGATGAAATTTGAGGCTGCCCTAACACAGTTTGAGGACACGTGGCAAAGCCCAAATCCAGGATGTAAGGGTCCAAGAGCCACAGGAGTTGGTAGGTCTCAAACACACAACGTAGGTTGTCTTCTCCAAGGAGAATTTTAGGCGTAATAAGACACGGCTGTTTCCTAAATGGCTTATCTACCCCCGCAGGCTGCAGTTTAGACGTCGACTAGCAGTGACCTAATGACGTTGTCTACTAAATACAGGAAGAGCCCAGGTGACCTAGTCTGAGTTCTAGCAGAGATCTGAGCCAGGCCAGCTAATGCTGATAGCAGCTCATAAGCTAAAGGACACAAGATATTTAGCTGTAGATGGGACAAGTGTAACTCAGCCAGTTTTCAGTTCACTCATGTAAGTCAGTGGCTCTTCAGATGGGCCCGAAACCACATCTAGGGCTGGGCTAAGACGTCCGGTTAGGAATCCTTAAATATCAGGCTCCCCAGTATGTAAATGCCTAGAAAGGATACCTGAGCCTGGACGAAGCTCTGGTGACTGCTGGGACAGCAGAGATGGGAATTCTCCGCAGTGACTCTCAATCCTTCCAGGCTGCCGTTGTACCCCGTGGGGTCGGATTTGTCTTGCGTCCCCCCGCGTTTCACCTCACTTAAACACTCCGGCCTCACAACATCAGCCATGAAACTGCCCGAAGTGACAGGCCACTTGCTTTCTCGTTTTTACCACGTCATTATAACACAAATCAATTGCACCGTACAGCTTGCACTTGGCGTTTCTGTGTGCGGAGCAGTATAAGCAAATATAAACCTGTATGGAACCGTAGTGCCTACTGACCTAGCTAGTGCTGCGTTCGTAGCCCATGGTAAAACTAGACAAACAACTGATCGAGTGCTGTACCCCGGGGAAGACGTCTGGGTACCCCTGGCTGGGAACCACTGATCCAAGCCAATAAGCAATGGGGAGGAGTCACTTGTTTCTTACCGGGTGGGCTTCTCTCACGAGGTGATCACAGTAATCCAGCCAGCTGAAGAAAGCATCCAGGCTCGCCTTCCCTGGGAAAGACCCCTCGTCGGCAGCCTTGTTCTGCAACCTGCAAGGAGATCAATAGATGGGGTAGGAATCAACTCCAAAGCATCATGCCAGGGCAATGGTACATCGGGGGAGAAACCTCCTCTCTGGAGTGACAGCTGCCACCCCTCTGCCTTTACTCGGTATAGAACCCTAGAGACGGAAAAGCCCCGAGGGATCAGCACGGCCAGCCATTCCCATCCCAGGGGCCATGACCCACCAGGAACGGGGGTGGTGACCACTGCCCAGATCCCTGGGAGCCGGGGTGCAGCCCCTGGAGAACAGGTCTCTCTAGTCGTCTCTGGGCCCAATACTTCCAGGTAGGTGCTCAGCTGGTCGGGCCATTCCGCTGCGATGAGGCTGGGAACATACTGAGCCCAGGGTCTCCTCAGCGTCCTACCTCCAGCTGGCTCTCTCCAGGGAGAGGACGTCTGCAGGGTCGGCCGAGGCAGGGACGGCGCTGTACAGCTCACACAGGCGCTCAGCCACCAGGCAGCTCAAGGCGCTGTTCTGTACCAGGTACGTGGCAGCTGCCTGCTGGGCCACGCTGATGAGAAGCAGCAAGTTCTCCTGAGCCTTCAGTGCAACCCTGCTCTTCTGCCCATGGGGAGACACGCACACGTTACCGGCCGTACCGTGCCGGCTTATTCCCCTCCCCAGTGCAGCGGGGACCGAACACGGCACCGTGCAGCACCGTTCCCTCCTCGCCGCCTGCGCCCCTCCGCTCTCCCCTCCCCAGTGCAGCGGGGACCGAACACGGCACCGTGCAGCACCGTTCCCTCCTCGCCGCCTGCGCCCCTCCGCTTTCCCCTCCCCAGACCCGTACCTGGCTCTTGCACAGGGTGATTAAAGACGTGATCAGATTGTTTTCACTGTTCAGAGGGGAGGAGCTGGAGAGAGGCTTCTTTGGTTTCCCTGCCAGGCTGGCGCAGGCTGCGTCTCCCCAGGGGTGCTCTGGAGACGCGGCCAGGGCTCCATTGGCAGCGACGGGCTCTCCCTGGCTGCTGCCAGCTTCTCCCTGTGGGCAGCAGAGCTGACGGGAAGGCTTCTGCCCCCTTAGAAGATCCTTGCCCTTGGGGATAGAGAATCGCAGAACACTAGAACTGGGAGAGACCTCACGAGGTCGTCGAGTCCAGTCGCCCGCCCCCGCGGCAAGACCACGCACAGGGCCCAGAGACAGGCCAGAGAGCCGTTCGCACTGACACACGTGGGGCCGAGGCCAGGGACCGACGCCGAGGCGCAGACCCACAAAGCTCAGGAGGTGCAGCGCATCCCCGGACACCTGGCAAACGCACCCAGCAGCACTCCGCTGAGCGGGGAACACCACACCACGGCCCATTTCGAGGGAGGATTCCAACCCCCGTGGCAAATATTAACCCTCGCCACTCCGCCGTGGGCTGCAGGGACGTAGCCATCACCCCTCCGTCCCCGGCGGCGGAGCACAGCACCGGGCGGAGATGGGTCTGAGATCATGCAGCGGGCGGGGGCGGGGGCGCTAAGAAGAGAGCCCAGGAACCCTCTGCTCTAGGCCACCGACTGGAGAATGAAGCCTCCCCCAAAGATGTCAAATTGGAACTACCCATGTCCCTCCTCTCTCCCCCTGCAAAGATGTCAAATTGGAACTACCCAGGTCCCTCCTCTCTCCCCCCACAAAGATGTCAGATTAGAACTACCCAGGTCCTCACCTCCCCACCCCCCCAAAGATGTCAAATTGGAACTACCCATGTCCCTCCTCTCTCCCCCTGCAAAGATGTCAAATTGGAACTACCCAGGTCCCTCCTCTCTCCCCCCACAAAGATGTCAGATTAGAACTACCCAGGTCCTCACCTCCCCACCCCCCCAAAGATGTCAAATTGGAACTACCCATGTCCCTCCTCTCTCCCCCTGCAAAGATGTCAAATTGGAACTACCCAGGTCCCTCCTCTCTCCCCCCACAAAGATGTCAGATTAGAACTACCCAGGTCCTCACCTCCCCACCCCCCCAAAGATGTCAAATTGGAACTACCCATGTCCCTCCTCTCTCCCCCTGCAAAGATGTCAAATTGGAACTACCCAGGTCCCTCCTCTCTCCCCCCACAAAGATGTCAGATTAGAACTACCCAGGTCCTCACCTCCCCACCCCCCCAAAGATGTCAAATTGGAACTACCCAGGTCCTTCCTCTCTCCCCCGTAAAGATGTCAAATTAGAACTACCCAGGTTCCCCCCCCACACACACACAAAGATGTCAAATTGGAACTACCCAGGTGTCCCCCCCCCCCCCCACAAAGATGTCAGATTGGCACTACCCAGGTCCCCGCCAGCACCGGATGAGACACTTTCCCTAATGCAGAGGAATCCAGCAGGATTTCAGCTGTGCAGGAGCGCAGAGTCCTCCCCAGCCACGCGGCTCTGCGGCAGCAAGGCGAGAGCCGAGCGCCTGCGGAAAGCCCCTGATGCAGAGACCTGCCCCCCTGCCTAGCAGATCAGCCCACTGGGCCTTGCAGCCAGCCGCTGGGCATGGCCAAGACCTGCCGTACGGCCGTGATGGCGGGCAGGCGCCACGGCGGGCTCCTTACCTCCAGGATGTACGTGAGCAGGGCGGGGTCCTGCTTGATCTTTGCACACAGAACCGCAGCAAACTGCACCTCTTCCCTCTCAGTCGCCGAGCCGAGCGCGTCGCTGCCGAGCTGAAGGAGCTTCTGGGAAGGCGACAGGGCGGTCAGCCTCTCCGGTGAGGAAAGGGGGCAGGACGGAGCTTACGCAGTGCTGCAAGGGGGGCGCTGCCATTGGGGATGGGCATCCTTCCTGCCTCACTGGAGGCCACTGGGCGCGCTCCCCAGGGATGCGCGCCTGTATCCGACATACGGACCCTGCAGCCCCCATTGTGGTGGAGTAACATCAAAGGAAAGTATTCACCATTGCCCTGTTCCCTGTCTGGTGACCTACACCACTAGCAACGGGGTATCCGTATGGTCACGTTTCACAGCCACTCCACGCTGGTGTACACTGCACAAGGGGCATGTGGGACGAAGTGGGGACTGTATTCACTCTGTTCGCTTATTGCGTTGCATGGGACTTCTGCTGGTCTGTAGTAACTTCTGGGTGTGTGCCTCAGTTTCCCTGGGCACTGCACCACTATCTAGATGGGGATGGGACTTCTGGGCGTGACTCACTGAGGGAGGATGCTGCGGCCAGCACGCGAGGCTCACGGTAACCTGAGGGGTGTGTGACCAGACAAAGGAGCCGCCGGGGCTGCCTGCAGGGCTGGGACCAGTCGCGGACTGTGAGTTAGTCTCAATTAGCTTAGGATGCAGGGAGAGGGCCCAGGGTCCTGGCTCTGGGCTGCCCACTCCCCAAGATGGATGGTACTGGCTGTGCTGACAGGTCTGTGCTACGCTGTATCCCTGGGAACCAATCAGCCTTCTGCTCTACCTGTTGACCGAGAGTCACAGCTGGCTGTGGAGGGGGATGCAGGACCTGGTGATCCCCACACCTCAGTGACAGCACGGTATTGGGGAACCGGGCCCCCCACGGGGTCCACGCTACCATCATTGGCCATCCCCCCACAAAGTGAGGAAAGGCACAAGGAGCCCTCTTTACAGCTCCTGCAGCGAGCCAGGAGCAGTGCTCACCTGGACAGGTCTGTGCACATTCAGGTAGTGCAAGAGCGGATGCTGCACTTGTCCCAGGACTCGGCTGAAGAAGAGAAACACCTGCGGCCTCATGCCGGGTGGATACTGCGAGGAGAGACAGAGGCCAACTGTCAGTCAAGCGATATCCCCTTCAGTGCCACAGACAACATGTGACAAAGGCCCATCGCTCTGCCACTGATGGTAAATATGTGTAACGTGGCAGAGGTAAGAACTGCCAGCATCTAGCAATACGCACCCGCCACCCTATGGCCAGGGGGTCCAACCAGTTCTGAAGCAGTAGCCACTATAGCGAACTAGCCACACTCAACCGGCCCAATAGCCACATTGCTTAAGCCAACCACGGGCCAAACAGCCCCATGTAGCTAGCGTGTTGGACTCCACGGCCCTACAGCTAGTTCAGAAGGCTACAACACCGCAAGGGTATTAAAGTTGACGCGGACAGAGAACTCCCAAGAAGAGAGGGTCTGAAGCTCTCAGAGAACAAAAGATTCAGTTTATCATTAATTTTCTCTCCTTTCTGGCATCAGATCATTTAGGATGGCTACCCGGTCTCTGCTGCAGGCAACCGCTATGAAAAGTGTGTGTGACATGCGAACTGGAGATCTGCTGACCTGGGAGACCATTAAGAGGAATGCTCTGGGATAAAGTTAAGACCAAGACCTAGGTTTGGTTTACAAAGGAGGTTTTCCCAAACACACACATTTTCACAACCCAAACACTGGTTTGGTTTAGGAAGTAAATTTTTCCCAGCAGCACTGGAAACACAACCATCTGAGCACTGAAAAACCAGCAGGGAATGGTAATGAAATTGACCATCCCAGCGCAGCACAATGCCTAAAAATCCCCAAGCAGCGCAAACTTATATATATGCTTTTGAAAGTTTGTACGTCAGTCTGTCTGTTCAAGAATTCCTCAGAGGACCACTAGGACAGCCAAATTGGGTAGGCAGCTTCCTCTTCTCCCGACTTAAAGCCAGGTCAGAGTTTGGTTGTGCCAGGAAAACAGGATGTGCCTGGAATGGGACTTTTTTCCATAACATGGAAAGGGAGGGGGCTGATTGGAGAGTGACCACAGGGGGCAGCGTACCTGCAGAAGAGTGGCCAACTGGGGATGGGGTTTCCACACAGCCAGCCACCGGACAGGGTAAGTGCCCCCACCACTCAAAACTGTGGCATCTGGGGGGACATCACCCACCAGACCTGCCACCACAGCCCCCAGGACTGGGCAGCGTAGCCCGGCCTCCCCCAGAAGGCACACTCCCCGCTCCTGGAGAAGCTGGGAACTGGCCCAGCTCCAAACTACTTGCAGGGCAGGGTGTGCGGGGGGAGATGCAGGAAGCCAGGGCCAGCCCCCCTCAGCTCTGGCCCACCAGAGGAGCCACTGGTCAGAACAGGGCCACCCTCACTGCCACAGGTGGTCCCATAAGCCGCCTCCCCCCCAGCCTCCCAACCCCCTGCCCTGAGCCCCCTTGCCCTCAGCCCTGCACCTTTACCCCCCGTCCTCATCCCCACCCCCCCAACTCTCCCAGCCCTCACTCCTGGATCCCCAACCACTACGCTGAGCCCTCCACCCCCTGCCCTAACTCCAGCACCCTCCACCCCCCCCAGCCCTGCCCTGACTTCTGCACCCCCACCCAACCCCCACACATCGAACCCTGTGCTGACTTTCCCACCTCCTGCCCTCCACCCCCTGCCCTGAGATCCCCAGCCGCTACTGAGCCACCCCACACCAGGCCCTGTGCCCCCATCCCCTGCTCTCAGTTCAGCAACCTCCAACCCCTTCCCTCAGCCCCCCCACTGCTTCCCTGACTCCTGCACCCCTACCCCCCACCTAGAGCCGCCACACACCCCTCTCAACCCCCTGCTCTGACTCCTGTACCCTCCAGCTCCTGCCCTGAGGCCCCCCCAACCCTCTCCCCAATACAATAATTTAAATACAGCACGTACATTTACCTTTGAATTAAAAAAAAAAAATCCAGCCATTACTACAGTGAAGGACTCGAGCAACACCAGGTAAATTTGCTAGTAAACAATACTTTTCCCTTCTAATCAATCTTTTAAGTGTCTCACAAACAGTTAATTAATTCTCTCACTGGGTATTTATTTACATTGCTTAATGAACGTCACTTACATAAATTAAGCTTCTCAGTTGCGTTCTGGTGAAAAAAATCAATGTGATTATTTTCCCATTTTCAACAGGTTAGTGATTCCAAAGGCCTGTACGATGATGACATGGAAAACCCAGGAATGGAGGACAGTAGAGATAAAGGGTAGCCATTGCAGAATGCAATTGACTTTCATAAACATGTGATAAAAACTAGTATTTCCAGTTCATGTTTCCTTGTTTTTGTGTTTGGAAAACAAAAAGAGACTATTTCTAGCCCAATAAGCCAAGTTATTATTAGTAACACAGGCCAGGAGGATACAATGGTAAGCTTTTGATATTTATTCTGAGAGAGTCCTTTTAAAAACCCATCTCTCCTGCAAATCAAAGGACAGATCCTGCGCCCCTCAATCATGTAAATACTTGCACAGGGAGTATTCACCTGAGCAAACCCGGCTCATATCAGCAATGCGGCAAACAGAAAAACATTTTCAAAAGTGCCTATGGGGCTTAGGAGCCCAAGTCCCATTTCCAAAGCGATTCGGGTGCATGGGCACCTAACGATACGTCTGTACTACGGGAAAACATTTTCAAAAGCGCCTATGGGGCTTACGAGCCCAAGTCCCATTTCCAAAGCGATTCGGGTGCATGGGCACCTAACGATACGTCTGTACAAGTGCTGCAGCGATAGTGTAGACGTGCTACAGTGACAGAAATGGCTTTGCAGTTTAAGAAGTAGGTGAACAGGGGGAGGCTGGCTTAACTACATCACTCAAGGGTGTGGATTTTTCCACACCCCTGAGTGATGCTGCTGGGTCATCCTAGCTTTTTGGTACAGATCTGGCCTTAGTCTCACTGAAAGTCAATGGGATTTAGGCATCTCAGCTGTTGCGTGACTAGAATTTGGAAGGCGTATCTACCATGTATTGAAAGGGTAGCGTAGACAAGGCACTGTGTCTAATAAGATGCTCTCCCCCTCCAAATCCTAGTCTGGACAAGGCCTACATGGCTTCCGAAACAGGGACTTTAGACTCCTCACTCACCAAGATGCTTTGGGAAATTTTACCCTGATCTTAATTCCTTAAGACGACACAGCTTCTTTGCTGTGAACCAGTCAGTGTTTAGAGTCACTGGAGTCATCCACTAAAGGAGTTCCGCCCCTAACGCAACCAGTGGTGTTTGTCTGGGGCTTGCGTGGGGCTGCCGAGGGGAGTAACCCGGTGTACGCACCTCTGCTTTCCCCAGAGTGCTGAGGGTCTCCAAGATTTTGTGCTGCAGCAGGTATTCCAAGCAAGGCCCCGTCTCCCCTGCCGGTTGTTGCTTCTCCTCATACACCAGAATGTCCAGCATCTGTTTCAGGCGCCAGGGGATATCCGTCTCCCTAACTGGGGTGTTTTCATCTAGAGAGAAGGCAGATATTAAATCCCAATCCAAACACGCTCCATGATGGGCAAACAGACGTACGGCTTCGTGCCATACGATCATCAAACCTATACAGGCCCTTCTAGCCCACAGCACGGCACAGACACGCCCATCAGAACTCCGGGATGACACGTGGCAGCTCTTTTAATAGTGCACCGCATGCCCTGGGATTGGCACAGCCATGAGGACGCGGCAATGCTAGAATAGTTCGGGGCCGGAAGTGAGCAGCAAGCATCCAACAGAAGCTGTAAGGGGTAGTAGTCAGTATGTGATTACCCGCAAATTTAGCCAGGACACTGGAGCCAACCCCATGCACTTGTAAAAACAACAAGGGTTTGCTAAATCTGCTAGTGGCCAGGACTCCAGGTTTCCGTCTCAGCTGGAAAGCAGCCCCTCCCAGCGGGGCAGCTGGTCGGGTGTTGTGTCCGTGTGTCCTTAGTGCAGGGGTAGGCCCAAGCGGATCAGCTGACAGGATTAGGGTGATAGTTCATGAGGGATGATGAGACTGGCACATGGGGTAGGACAGTAACAGGCCTTACACTAGGATGCTGGATAATGTTTATTTTAGTAAAACACTTTATCCGTTACATGGTTACTAAAATACTCAGGGGGCGGGGCCGGCAGCCAGTGCGGTCCTGGCCCCACTCCCCGGGAACCCCCTGCCACAACCCTGATACAGAGGCAGCAGCATGGGGCCGCAGCAGCCGGTCTGCAGGGGGGACCCAAACTCCCCATGGACAGAGGCTGCTCTGGCATCCCACGGGGGGCCCAAGCTCCCCACAGACAGCCTCCTCCCCAGCCCCGATACAGAGGCAGCAAGGATATGTATGTGTCTAACCATTTAGATTAACCAATAAGCCCATGCTGATGGGTTAATTGTTTAAACAACTATACGCTAACATCCCTACTGCACACTAACCGAGACCCAAGAGAAACAAACACTAAGGAAAAAAAATCAGGCAAAGCCGACACTGTTCCTAATTCCTACTAGGGATGTTAAACCAGTCAACAGGTTAAATGATTGTGTTTAACCGGTTAACAGTTTTAACCAAAGTCCCGCCACCCGGCCCCATAGCTGCCATCAGTTAACCAGTCAACATACCAGCCATCCTCATCCTTACCGGTTAACATGCCTAATTCCTACTACAGGTATTACGACACAGGGCACTGTTCCACCGAGTGACCTTTTAGAAAGGTTTTTTCTACATTCTAAAAAACAGGGAAAGGCTCCGAAATGGTGAATTTAAAACCGTCCCCTCCTTGTAACAGAAAAACAAGCCGGTGATTTCTTTTCAGGGACTGGTAGAACCCAGAGGACGTTAAGAAAAGCAACATTTTAGAAAATGAACATGCTCCTTCACCTGAGATTTTTTTTTTAAGCAAATTTTAGCTTTGGGGAAATTTTAACAGGTATAAAGCCAACAATTCATTGTGTCCCAGGCCTAATGTTTGTGGGATTTTTTAACCTGAAAATTCTATTTTCCTTCTATCCTCCCAACCTTTCCCCTTGGTCTCCACGCTGTAATTTTCACGTAGATTTTGATCTCGGCAGCACCCCAAGACGCTGCTTTCTAAATGGAATATTGCAGTAACGTGAAGCGGCAGCGTTAGAACAGAGCAGCCCTGGCCTAGTTAAGAGCAAAGGTCGGTTCTCATACTTGGGAGTCTAAAGTTACACTCGTAAATGCATGTTTAGGTATTTAAGTAAAGGTAGGGGACCAAGGCGCTCTCAGTACACCAGGATAATCCTGCCTCCCAACTGCAAAGCAGTACAACTCCCTCGAGTGTGGATGCAGTGACACCGTTGCTAGATTACCCGGGTTCTCGGGTCCTTCAGACAGGCAGCTAGGGGTGCGTGCGGGCCCAAGGAAGTGGATTGCGAGGTGTGGAGGGTGCAGGAGGCAGGGCAGGGAGGTGGCCAGTGGAGTTTGGACAGATGGACGGACAGACAAGCACGCAAACTCTCCCAAAGACGTAGCAGGTCACTGTACGCACGTGAAAGGCGGTAGCAGTATCGCTTATCCGTCAAAAAACCCCTAAGTACAAAATCTCGGCGTAGCTCAGACCTGATTTCGAATCGCGTCTAAGAAATGCCGGCCACAGCATCGAGAGCAGCCCAGCCCATCTCAAAACTTGGATCAACAGAGACATTATTATAAGGCCGTGGCCCGGAACGTCAGACACCTCCAAACGCCCTAGGCCACGAGCCCCACAGCCCACCGGGGTGGGGGAAGCAGCAACGTCCGCCTGCCACGTACACAACAGAGTGCAGATATCTTAATGGTTGCAGGCAACATTTCCCCCGGCAGCGTTTTGCCTTCCCACTCGTGGGGCCCGAGGAAGAGGAGGGTGGGGCAATAACATTTTGCTTTACTTTCGGCCACAGCTCTCACAGTGGTCCCTACCCATTGGCGAATTAATGACGACCACGCCGCTCCTTGCCCGCGTGCGTCTCATTTCTCTGTATTGCGGCTGCTGGCTTTTGCTGAAGGTGCTCCGAGCAGCCACTGGCAGAGCTGAGAAGACATCCCAGGCAAGGCCAGGCTCCCGGCCAGCGCTGGGAACTGGACCCAGGCGTCCTGAGTCCCTGCCTCCCCCACCTACCTGTGGTCTCTATGTAGTAGTGAGTGAGCCCCTTCCAGTGCTCGGTGAACGCCTCCAGCAGGTCAAGGCTGGGTTCTTGCTGCGGAGAGGGAGGGGGGGGTCAGTCAAGCGCTAGAGCCCTTTGGAAAGGGCATGTTCATATCCACCCGCGCGCCCTGCTCACAGGAGGGTCCCTCCTCCTGACCCCCCTGCCACCCCAAGCATTCTGCTCCCCCGGAACCCCCTCCCAAAACACGGGGGGCAGAGAGGTGCGGACTGGTCCCCCCCCCAGCCCCCACTCCACATCTCCTGGGACACCTCTCTGCCCTCTACCCTGGGACATGCCCGCTCCCCAAGCCCCCAGTGGCACCTTGGGTCCGTCCTGGGCAACCTGGCCCTATAGGATCCCCTCCCCCGCAAGTCCTAGTCCCCTATAGGCCTCATCTCCTAACACCCAAGGGGAGCCAACCCCGACCCTGCCCCATCTCGTCACCCCAGTGGCACAAAGGGGGGTGCGTGTCCACCCTAGGTGTTCACCCCACGTACCCCAGTCCTCAGAGGGAGCCCCCAACCCCGATTCTCGAGGCTCCCCCATCTCCTGATCCCAACCACATCGGGGGGGCATGGCACCCCCCCAAAGTCCCAGCCCCACACGCTCCCCCATCTCCTGATCCCAACCACATCGGGGGGGCCCATCCTGGGAGCCCCCCCCGCCTGTCCAGGGGGGGCCCCCCCAAAGT